TTATTGCGCCAAAGCTCCCATAACTAGATGGTATGACCAAGATTACAGATTTCTAGATCCAACCGATAATTGACAACTGTAAACTGTAGCACAGGCTATTTTTCAAAATTCGTCGTCCGTGGGATTTGAACTCTAGACCTGCCACTTGGAGAGGGTGACGACTAGACCACTACACTAAGTCACCACACCCTACTATATTGCAAATTAATTTAATCAAGATTACCACATACATAAAATAAAATCTTATATTACATGTTAGATTTAATAATAATAATATACTTACTATAAATGAATGTTTATTAAAACAAATCATGTTATTTTTAACATATTATTAAAATATTCATATAATTTATGCACTCAAATTTTTTTCAAGTTATTATAAAATTAAAAAACCTTACTTTATTTATATCATAATTAGATAATCGCGTCCTACAAAATATTAACATGAATATAATATGATGTTTCAATTGATACCTATTACAATATTAAAAAAAAATAATATAATATAAAAAACTGTTGTTTTAAAAAGTACAAGATATACTAATATATAATAGTAATAAAAAAATCATGACAAATTCATGCTAATTTGTTATCAAATAAAATAAATAAGCAAATATAAATTACAAGCATATCATCATTATATAGATCTTTTAAATAGAAATTGAGACATATATTATTGAATAATCATAATATAAATATAAATAATTTAAATCTAAGCAAGATATATATATATGTATAATATGACAAAAAATGACCAAAAATTATATATATGAGTTTATTCTATAAAAAAATATAATTTAACTTTTATTAAATCATTATTATTCAAAAAAAAAATATGCCTCCACTTCGTAAAACATGTTCACAAACGGCTGAAGAACGTCGAACTTTAAATACTTTTCGAATGCAAAGAAACAGACACTCAAAAACACCACCAAAAAACAACAAAGAAACTATAATATGGTTGTTGCTTTCAAGAAACAACAATATCCATTCGTTATATTTCCAATATCATTCATAACTGCTCTTATTGTAATGCAAAACTTTTTTAACTAAAATACAAGAAATGTGCTGTAAGTTAGGAAAGATCAAGTAAGCTACTTTATTATTATCAAATAATTATTATTAAATTAAGTTTTCATAAAAATTTAATTATTACTAATACTAGCCAAATAAATGACAGGTTAGCATCCGCAGATGATGCAATAGCTTTGAGAAATTTATATATGAGGAATGATAATATAGGAAAAGATTTTAGAAAAAATATAAGAGCTTATAATAGTATTTTTGCCTTCACTTCAATGGGCATTAAATTAGATGAAGACCTTGCAAATAGTAAGAAATTATATTAAAAAAAAATTAAATAAACTTAAATAAATATATATATAAACTAACTTATCTATAGGCAAAGATGGAATCTACACGTTCAAAGTACAAAGCGGAATTTATCACTTTATAGTATCCCTTTTTCCAATTGATGGGGTGCCTAGATTCCTTTAATTATATATATACGATACTGAATATGAAACAGATAACAAACTTTCCATTATGTCTAAACTTTGTTGTGGACCTTTGGAATTTATTAAAATACTATTAAACTAAATGAACCCCTTCGTAACCAATTTCTATTCAATTAGCTTAAATAATAACATTAATAATCTCCATTTATTTATCAGAGCTGATAATAATTTAGACCAATGTATTTACAATAAACCAACAGCTTCACAAGTGGCAGCTATATGTGTAGAAGGTGATGAACCCATAGAATATATAAAGCGTGATATAGTTATTCAATCGTGGTCTCAAGGTTTACAAAGAGTTTCTGAACTAAGCAGAACATATGATCCAATGCAATACCCATTTCTTTTTCCAAAGAGCGATTATGGATGGCATCCCGAAATATTACAAAATATGTTCCAAAAAAAAGTCATTGTAAGACAAAATTATGCTTACAAACTACATTTCTGAAAACCTTTCACATCTTTAATTTTTCTCAGAGGAAGGTTATTTTAACAATACATTGTTAACAATTATGTTAAAATTGAATCTGCCGCCTTAACTATTTACGCTTTTCACAAAACAAAATTTGTAGCGAACTTTACCAAGATTTACAAGATTCTTTTCAGGCCGGAATATCAAATGCATCACAAATAGGACATCGTATCATCTTACCCTCATCATTCATAGGTGGACTATGTGATATATACCAACATTATCAAGATGCAATAGCGTTGGTACAAGTATATGGAAGGCTAGATATATTTATAACCATCATGTGTAATCCTCGCTGGCCAGAAATTATAGCAGAACTTATGCCAACACAAACCCCGCAAGACAGACCAGACCTCACAGGTAAAACTAATTATTTAAATTTAATTTAATAATTATCAAATTAACCTTATTAAGATCGAATACTCAATTCTCATTGCCAATTTAATTCTCTGTTATATATTAACTTTTCACTCTTTAAAATAACAAACCAAAAACATTCTTTGTAAATATAATATATGCAAACTTACCAACCACTCCTTTTTCCTTTTTCCATAAAGAAAAATAATAATATAAAACAGATAATTAAATAGATCAAACTTAATATTAAACAAAAATAATACAAATTTATAATTTAATCTACAAAAAAATACTATACCATATATATAAATTCATTAATAATGAAAACGCGCATAGAATAAACCAATAAAATAAATATACTATGCATGCTTTATAAATGAATATATATAATTTTGCATAATATACACGTTTACCAATTTACCTATAATAACAAATCTAATTAAATTTATTTATAGCAAGAATTTTTAAAATGAAGCTAGAAGAACTTAAGAAAGACCTTTACGACAGAAATGTTCTTGGTCATGTTATCATGCACATGCACGTGATAGAATTCCAAAAACGTGGCCTTCCACACGCGCACTTATTACTAATATTCAGCCCCGAAGATAAATTATGTGGAGCTGATAATTATGATAAAATCATATCAGCAGAAATACCTGATCAAATAGAACAACCCAGGCTATACCAAACAGTTACATCCTTTATAATTCACAGTCCATGTGGATTTTGCAATCATGAAGCACCATGCATAAAAGAAAACAAATGCACTAAACGTTATCCTAAAAAATTCCTACAAGAAACTCAAGAGAGCGACGATTCATACCCATTATACCACAGAAGAAACAATGGACAATATGTAATAATTAGAAAAACTAAAATAGATAATTGATGGATCATACCATATAACCCATATCTTACTTTTAAATACAACTGTCACATAAATATCGAAGTATGCTTCAGTATCAAATCCGCAAAATACCTGTATAAATACGTGTATAAAGGCCATGATTGTGCAGCTTTACAAATTACCAATAATGATAAAATAAGTCAATATTTAGATGCATGATGGGTTTCAGTATCAGAAGCTTGTTGGAGAATTTTCGGCTTTGATATGTCGCACATAAACCCCTCAGTAATTCGCTTACAAGTCCACCTTCCCAACCATAAAATATAACATTTCAAGATATGTCTAATTTAAACTGCATTATCGAAGATAAACAAAATAAAAAAACGATGTTAACTGAATATTTCGAAATAAATAAAATTGACCCTGATACTCGAAACATATATATTGAGAATTCCCTCAAAATTACGTCTGGAACAATACTAACAAAAAATGGACAAAACGTTGCCAGGGTAAAGTAATCAGAAGAATATATGCAGTCAAACCAAATGAAGAATAACATTACTACCTACGCTTACTACTCAATAATGTTAAAGGAGCTACATCATTTAATGACTTAAAAATAGTAAATAATCAACTGTGTTCTATGTTTAAAGATAGTGTACTAAAGAGAAAATTAATAGAACCAGAACAAATATACCAACAAACTATGCAAGAAGCAGCCCAATTCCAAATGCTATCTGCCCTGCGCCAACTATTTACTATAATACTATTATATGGAGAACCAAGTGATGTTTGGTCTTTATGGAATTTCAGCTTTATCTCTATGTCAGAAGATTTTGCAAGAAGTGGAATTCCTAACGATTATCCACAAATTAATGCTGTTCTACATATAAAAGCTCTTCTGAAACAACATTATAAATTTTTAAATGACTATGATCTTCCTCCATTAAAATTACCTGCCAATCTTTTAGAGGAATTACTGAAACTAATAATAAATGAATTAAGTATTCCTGTATTTATCGAAGACTTAAGAAAAATTGAACTATTAAATAAAGACCAAAAGTTAGTATTCGATACCATAATAAAACGTATAGAAATGAATTGACTAGCAGTTATTTTCGTCGATGGACCTGCAGATATTATTTCATTATAATTCTAATCTATTAAAATATACATAAACAAATACAATATATATATAAATTTTAATTACAAGTATCAAAAAAAAAAAAAAAAATGAAAAATCAACTACAACAAATATTTAACAATTGACAATAAACTTATAAAATCAAACCTTCAAAACTACTAATAAAAATTCAAATATTAAATTAAGGTTTAGGCAAAACCTTTTTATATCTATGCCTACTAGCAATAATTCGTTCAACTTATTCAATAGCACTTGCAACGGCCTCATCTAGTATAGTTGCTCTGCTTATGCCTGGAGGACAAATGGCACAGTCAAGATTCAAAATACCTCTAGAAATTAAATCGACTTCAACTTGCACAATTAGTAAACAAAGCCAATTAGCTAAGTTATTAAAACTAGCTAAACTAATTATATGGAACAAAATTTCTATAATGAATCATTATTCAATAGAAGCTTTAAACAGAACATTATAAGATTTAATGGACTGTAAACTTCTATTTGAAGGAAAAGTATTCGTATTTGGCAGAGACTTTTGTCAAATTCTACCAGTCATCCCACGAAGAGGCCACGCACAGATAGTGAACGCAACCTTCAAATCTTCTCCATTATGGTCAGCAGTAGAAATATTCCACTTTCACCAAAACATGAGAGTTAAAAATAGCCCTAAAGCAAACGAATTCAAGAACTTTATATTAAGAATCAGAGATGGAACTAAAAAAAACTATTAATAATGACATGATAAGGATCCCTAACAGCATAGTAATTGACTGGCACAACGACTAATCATTACAAACCCTAATCGAACAAATATATCCAACACTTCAAAATAATTCATCAAACCCCGCATACTTTACAGACAAAGCAATCTTAACAACAAAAAACGAATATGTAAATTATATCAACAATACAATCTTAAATCAATTACCAAGTGAAAGCATTACATATCAAAGTTTTGACTTGGTTCTAGATGACACTCATAATCTCTATCAACAAGAATTTCTTAATTCTATAAATACATCTGAAATACCTTCCCACGAATTACACCTTAAAATCAATACTCCCATTATATGTCTACATAACTTAGACCCAATCAATGGTTTATGTAACAAAACTAAACTAATATGCAAAGTATTCAATTTTAATATAATAGAAGCCAAAATGACTACAGGCAATCAACAGGGTAGACAAACTTTTCTTCTCTGGATTCAATTTATGACGTCAGAGACCAAATTCCCCTTTATATTAAAATGGAAACAATTTTCAATAAAACTAGCCTTTGTGATGACAATTAACAAATCCCAGGGTCAAACAATCCCACACATAGGACTCTACTTACCCGAACACGTATTTACTCATAGCCAACTCTACGTCACCTTCTCACAAGTACAATCTTATTTAAATATCAAAATATTGATAAAAAATGGCAAAATACCTGGTAAACAAGGCACATATGCACGAAATATAGTATATAAACAAACCTTACATGACTAAAATTAACCAAACCCAATCAATATTCACTATTATTACTATACTTTCAAACAATATTTATTATTATTACCATACCATCATACAATATTAAATCTAAAATAACATTAAAAAACAATATTAAATAAAAATTAAGTAAACCAAAAATCTATAAAAACTTTAAATAAATAAAACAATTTACCAAAGAAACTCTTCATAAATTATTATCAGTTAACAAAATTACCAAAAATAAATTAATATATCATAATCGACAAAATTGTAAAATTTAATAAACAAAAAATAATTTAAAGTAATCAACAATCTAAAATTCTGATTTCCAACTTTTTTAATCCTTTTTTAATAAACCTAGACAATATCATAACATTAAGATAAATGAAAAACAAATAACAAACGAATCAAATATATAAACTATTAAATTGATAAATTCTTTAATATAAACTTAGTATAAATAAAAGTTTCAATAACAACTTAAAAAAATTAAAAATTTCGCAAATATTTCATTCATTCAAACATTATTTAACACAAAATACAAATAACTAATAAAGTAATATAAAAAACTAAATAATTATCGTTATAAAAGTAAAAAAAAAAACACACTTAACAAAACACTTATATACAAATATTACACTCAGAATCAAACATAAGATAACTATTCTTTAGTAGCATCGATATTAGAATCCAAACCATGCGAACGTAAATTAACTTGCAAAGGCCCATCAACACGTTCTTTATCTTTACTATGAGAACTTCTCTTCTAATTTACATTACTCTTTAAAAACCCCTCAAATTCTTCTTGATTACAATCAACAACCCCATTAACAACATTCACGCAATCACCTTCAATAAACCCATCGAAATCTTCACTATGATTAGCTAACATAACAGGATCATCATTACTCATGCTTGCTTTCGAATTTTCAGCAAAATTATTACAAAATTCCTTAGCAGATTCATCAAAATCTTCAACTCGCACACGCTTAGATGAATGATTATTATTCGAAAAAGAATTTGATTCAAACCTATTACTATTATCACTCAAAACGTTGAAGGCATACTTCCTCTCTCAGATACACCTTTTAAACATTTAGCAAAATTATCATGAGTAGCCAATAACTTAGACCGAATCGAATTTTTAATCGAAGATCTATGAGATATACCGCGATCAAAATTCTTCTTACTATTAAACTGGGTATCAATACAATTAATCTCTCTAGCATATACATAGAACTCATTTTTAATAATTTCCAACTGCCCAACAATGAAAATAAATGATTCCTTAGGCCAAATATTATCCTTTATATATACAAAACATGGACTACTACACAGAAAAACAACATGTATATTAAAATTTACCTCCTGCCCAACATAATCAGAAACCAATATCTGAACAATAGTATCCTCTTTAACAATATTCAGCACTTCCTAAGGAAAACCAAACAAAGAAACTTTTAACGGACACTTATTAGACTCTTCAACCTTATTAATTATAGTCACGTATGTAAAAGACAATACAGTCATCTAAAATAAACATAAAAATTAATAACTATAACTATACTTTACAACCAAAAAACTCAATAAACACCTTTGCTCTTTTATTCCCTTCGTAAAATCTAGGAATAATCTTACCACCAACTGAAAAAAAATTATCCTTTACAAAAACAGCCTGAGACTCAGGATCCCGAACATCAGAATTAACAAGAACAAACAAAGTCATCTCGAGATTATAATCTTCCCGGTACACAGGATAAACCCCAAGAGCCCACACAACTAAAGTATTAGTATCATCTTTAACATTTTGCTTAACATATTTAACTCGAACAATAGTATCAGCATAACAAGGCATTGAATAAAATTTAACTTATTATAAAACGAAAAAAAATTAATACTTTAAACATACCCAATCCAAAGTATATATATAAATAAATCTCAACTATATATATGCATAAATAAACACGCACTAATAAAATCTTATTTATACAATACCAACACTTTAATTATTAAAAAATTACAAAAGATAATTAAAATCGCAACACACAATGCTCATCATTACCAAATAAACTAACAATTTACAAAAAATGATGCAAATAGAACTACACCCACAAATTAAAAATTCAATTTGACTAGCCAATTTAAGAATATAATCATATTAACAAAAATAAAATATTCACATATAAAATTTAATAATACTTAACTAATCAAATTCATTTAAAATATTTAAAAAACCAATCAACAAAAATAACTTAAATATTACTAAATTTTTCCTGCCAAACAAGTAACATCAAAAAAAAACCTGTTGTCAAAATTTCAGTTACGTTATATCCGCATATAATTGACTAATATAAAATTTTTCGAAATATAAATAAAACCAAACAATATAATAACTTTAAACTACACTTAAACACTAAATGCTATCCGACAAGCTAAATACATAAATGTAAATAAAATAATACACTAACTAAATAAAAAAATAATACAAATCAAAAAAAAAAACTAACCAAAACATAATTAACAAAAGAAAAAAAACCATAAAACCATAATAAATTATCAAAACATAAAATAACAACAAATAATACCTCCCAATAAAATAAAAACAAAAACAAACCACAATATACACTAAATACTATTTACCAAAAATTCATACCATAATAAAAAAACAATAAAATAATAAACCTTATAAATACAAAAAAGATGGGTGGCATGAAAGCGCCATCCATCGCACTAGTATAATATGTATATAGTATATATTGTATTATAAACTGAGATTTATATTACCTCCGGCTATGAGTTTCTCCACAACTACCAATCCAAATTGGATGAATTTTTACTGAAGATAGAAGTGATACTTAGCTACAACATATTAAAATTTCAGCCAATTTTAATTAGTAATTCTTGAGAAATTACTTAGAAATAATAAGCAATTATATTAAAAAATTACTTATAGTTTTTAAGCAATTTCTTAAGAACTACTAATCCAAATTGGCTGAAATTTTAATATATTGTAGCCCAATGTTACTTATATCTCTAGTAAAAATTTCATCTAATTTGGATTGGTAGTTGTAGAGAAAATTACAGCCGGAAGTAATATAAATCTTAATTTATAATATAACATATACAGTATATATTGTATTATAAATTGAGATTATATTACCTCTAGCTGTGAGTTTCTACACAACTACTAATCCAAATTAGATAAAATTTTTATTGGAGATAGAAGTGATATTGGGCCACAATATATTAAAATTTCAGCCAATTTGGATTAATAGTTCTTCAGAAATTGTTTAAAAACTATAATTAATTTTTTTAATATAATTACTTATTATTTTTAAGCAATTTCTCAAGAATTACAAATCCAAATTAGCTAAAATTTTAATATGCAGCCAAGTATCACTTCTATCTTCAGTAAAAATTTCATTCAATTTGGATTGGTAGTTGTGGAGAAACTCATAGCCGGAGTTAATATAAACCTCAGTTTATAATATAATATATATAGTATAAGAATTAAACTATATACAGTATATTATTTGCTTGAATTTGATTTGCTAGTTTAGTATCAGGTAGTGGGAGGGGGTAGCCCTCTTAAGAGGTGGAAATCATCTGATAAATGTCTCTATCCTTATTACTTTAAATTAATTTTAGGAATTTAAATATATATGAAGCGATAGTAATTGATAGAATGCATCATTTAAACTTGGAATTATTTAAATATCAGATTATTTTTACCTCCGGTCTTTTAAAAAATAAACATGGTGTATCTATCCTAAAAACAATTGATAATAGATTAGCTAATATTCCAAGGTTTCCAGGTCTAAAGATTTTTAAAAATGGAATTCAATCAAATGCAGGATTTACTGCAAATGACTATCATAATCTTATAAAGGTTATGATATTTGTCTTGGATAACTTGAATATAAGCGAAACTATTCAAGTAAAGTTAATGAAGCTTTATGAAAATTGGAATAATATGTATCTTTTAAGCTGAAGTGAAGAATTC